TACAGTTAATAACACTGTATTGTATATTTAAGTTGCTAAGACTAAGTTATCACTCCCCCCCCAAAAAAATTGTAACTATGTGTTAATGGGTGTCAACTATACTTATCGTGGTGATTACTTCACAATATATGCATACATCAAGTCATTATGTTGGACACCTGAAACTAATATGTTCTATGTCGATTATATCTCAATTTTAAAAATTATCTTCAATAATACATTTTTAGAAAACAATTCTAGTATGCAGTTGGTTTTAAGTTATCAGTTGGTATTGTAACCACAATAAGGATGCACCATGTGGTGGGGCAATATCACAGGGGTCCATACAACAGGGGCTGAAACGCTAGTCTTTGAAGGAAGCTGATCTATTTTCCACAGAAAAGGGACAGCCCAGGAGCTCCACCCCACAGGGGATGACTTCATTATAATGTTAAATCTGAAAAAATAAAGGAGAGCATAGCCACTTGCTTTAAAATAAGAAATTAGTACCTTCTGCAGGTTACCAGAACAGTAGATGAAATATTTTAGGCTACTTTGGACTCATCTGCAAATAAGTGATTTGGAGAACTCTGTTAAATGAAACCTCCCACACTACACCCCACCCATTCCTTTTCATTGTATTCCACAAGAAGTGGAGAACCTCGAGGTTCTTCAGTTGCAAAAGTCAAACTGAAGTCCCAGGCAGGAGCTCTGCAAATAGGTGTAAAAGGGGTGGGTGTGCTAGAGGAGATTAAAAGGGAGGAAAAAGGAAAAAAAAAAAAAAAAAGGCCAGGGGATTTCTGCGTTTGAGGCAAGAGAGAAACAGTGGTTTTTCTGTCATCACCACTATACAGCCAACAAATGTGATTTATTGGTGATAGCTAATTAGGGCGAATGAGGGGGTGGGGGGGAGGATGAAATAGCCTAGAGTTTCCAAAATAAATCCAAATATTTGTGGGCTGTTTGCCGGAGTTAAATATGGTTATTTCATCAAAATTTTCACAATTTTGAACTTCGTGAGACAGAAAGAACTTATATAATACTTTCAACATAAACTCTCAGCTTTTTTTAAATATCCATGTCTGGGACACATAAGAAAAGTAGTAGGGAAAAAAATGCTTTGTTACAGCTATAACCTAAGTAAAATGATGCTATAATTATTATTTATTCTTTCTGTCCAAGCAAAGAAATTTATCTCTGATAAAACTTGAATATGGTGCTGTCACACACAGAGCACCGCACATTCTCTGGCATTATCTATTGTTGTCATTTCAGGCACAAACTCCATATCCCCTAGTATCTCTAAGTCCAACTGACCATCAGTAGGAGAGAGGTTGGGCAAACAGGTAAAGAAGAAGAAAAGTCAAAATATGTTCACAACCCATTAAAAACTGGATGGACTTCCAGGTCCCTGAAGCACTTGAGTAGTATTTAAACTTGTGGACAAAGAAAGGAAGTCGCTGACCTGTGGGGTCTCTGGGCCAGACTATTACTTCCTGTCGACTCTCTCCCAGCTGGTCGAACAGGCTAAGTCAGTGATTTCAACACCAAACTAAAAAATAAAACTTGCTAATCTATGTTGTTGGAAAGATGTCATCTGTAACTGCAATGCTTTACAACTCAGCACATAGCCCTGAATCAAACGGAGAAATTTCAGCCACAATAGGAGCCAAGAAATTCCACCGAGCACTATGCCAATAATATTGAATTAATAAATGAGGGTCTTCCGTTTCTGTATCCCCAAATCTTACAAGGATCATTCAAGCTAATTCTCTAGTTCTATAACTATGAGTATCTCTTTTTGAAAGGAATTAACAATAAGTAAGAAAACTCTCTAACTCCTCCATCATCAAGTGATGCCAATTCTTCCTCCCAGGAAGGCTTAGAGAGTAGCTCACCTTCTAGAAAGGTAAGCAAACCATGTCTGACTCAGTCCTTGACTCACTAGCACCCCGCTCATCCCCACTCTGAGGAACCTTCCTGCCAAGTCTAGCCCTCTCAGGTACCTTCTAGAACAAAGAGAATTCCTCCTCCAAGTAGGTCCTGGGCAGTCGCGGTCTCTGACCAGAACCACAATTCCTACTTTTCTTTCTCTCCCCTTGCCTATTTCAGCCATTTTGATCATTCAGGATGTATTTTTTCAGGAAGATAAATGACAGTTCAAGGTTTGGGGAAGTGGTACCACATCTCACAGAGGGAAGTGGCAAGAGAATGTTAGTGGTGAATCCTGGGTACAGATGGATGAGCCAGAGTTTGACACACTGTAAGGAGGTAGTCTGGTGTTGTGGGCTCTCGAGTCAGACTGCTCAGGCTCAAACACAGGCCCTGCTAAGGTGGTATGACTCTGGACAAGTTGCTTAACTATTCAGTGCCTCTGTATCCTCATCTATAAAACGGAAATGTTAGTGCCTACCTAATGGGGTTGTTGTGAGAATCAAATGATATGATACAAATCTGGAAACAGTGTGAGCACTAAACAGTTAGCACTATGTTAGCTATTTTGAGTACTAGGTATACATTCTGAAAGAGTAAGGTAATTCTGTTAAGTATTGACTTGGAATAAAGTCTGTGACAGTGTTTTGTCAAAATGCTACAGAAAAACATGGTTAGTCTCAATCTATTTGGGGAAGAAAAAAAAGAAAGGCATGATACATATTTATAGGTGCATCCAAGTTAAGTCTAGAAAGGTAGGTACACCACTCAAACATTGAACTGTCACGCGGCCCAGGGGCGTGGGGAGGGGGAGGGGCTGCACTTACATTTGTACATAAGTCTTTGCTTGAATTCACAAGTATGTACCACTTTTATAACTGGCTTTAAAAATTGAACATTTTACAGTGGTCTTTCTAATCTTCAAATTGAATTTCTCATCCCAGTCTAGGAAAAGACAAGCTTCTTAGACACAAGGAAACTGAGGTCCCGCTAAGAGCAGGTAGAGCTCTCCCAGCAGTACCTCCCCGGCATGACTCATCTCGGATCCCCGTATATTCTTCACAGCCCCTGGCACATCACATGCCTGCTGAGAATCCCAACATTTTTAAATTGGTTGTTGTTTCCCCTTTCCTTTCCTTCCTGCTGTCTGAGGTACTCCTTTAAGTAGCTTCCACATTCCATGTTTTAGCATTTTTCTTCCTCTTTCACCACTTGCCTGCCTGTCTCTCAGCCTCTCAGACAGGTGCCCTCGCCCTGGGGAACGCACTGGAGTGACAATGGGCCTTACACATTCAGGTTTTTGACAGACACAAGGGCCTCCACCTTCACAATTGCAGGACTCGGTATTCCTCCCACGTGCTTTTTGCCTCGCAAAGGGTCCAAATGGGCTTTTAAACAAGGTAGGGTTTGGGGGCTTTTTTATGTTTGCCTGTTGCTTTATTGCAGTCAAGAAACAATACTTGGTGTTTTGGCAGGCGCTTTTCGCTCCCAAGGGTGTTTCTTTTTGCTTTGGCTTTCTCCTGAAAGGTGCCCTGCTATTTTGTACCTCCCTACCCTCAACGTTCTCCACCATGCTTGTCCTTTATTACGTGTTAATTTTTATTGTTTTGGCATCCAACACTCTCACTTGTTTCCTATCTTTCACACTCCAGTCATCTATTCCCATTTAAACATTTTCTGTTTCAGCCCATGGAGAAACGGCTGTATAATGAATGAGGAAGGAAAAGAGAATATGAGATCCTAGAAGAGAGTCTCCCAAGCTATTTCTCGCCCCGGAACCCGGAGCTTCGGGAACCATGCCTTCTCGGGGGTATCGGGGCCACCAGAACCGGGTCAGCATCAAAGCGCCCAGGCGTCGGGAGAGCTGATTAGTTCCCCAATGAACCAATCAGAGAGCGAGGCTGTGCACTGGTAGGGGAGGGCTAGGATTACAGAGCGGATGGAGTTAAAGGAAAAGGGTCAGGTGTGCCAGGCACCAAGGTTTAGCGTGCACTTCTGCACCCACAGGGTTATTATTAACCCCGCAACTCTGGTTTCCTAAATTCTACCTTGAGTTACCCAGTAACGCCGAATAGGTAAAGAAACATTACTTATCCTATCATTCATAAGATGGTCATTAGTAGTCAATGGAAGAGTAACCGTAGAGTTGGAGGGAGGCCATTAAAATCCTCCCTCTCTCCTTTCCCAGTTCCATTCCAGGTCCTCAACTAACTCAATCGGTTCTTGAAATAGTAAAGCACTCCAACTCTCGCTTAATCACCAAAGCTGATTACCAAAACGCTATCATTAAACACCT